TGGTTATCAGCTCATTTCCCCTGCCTCCCTCATGAACACTTGATAATTTATATTTTTTTTCATGTCTTGCACTGTCCGATATCTCCCTTTACCCCTGTATCTGCTTTCCATCCCTCTTGAAGGGGGTTATAGGTAGTTCATCGTGATCCATTCCCACTTTCTCCCCCAACCTTCCCCTTACCCTCCTGATACAGCTACTCTCAATATTGGTCCGGAGTTTATCTGTTCTGTATTCCCAGCTCTTATCTGTACCCGTGTACATGCTCTGATCTAGCCAGATTTGTAAGGTAGAAATAGGGTCATGATAGTGGTGGGGGGGAAGCATTAAAGAACCAGAGGAAAGCTGTATGTTTCATTGGTGCTATACTGCACCCTGACTGGCCCATCTTCTCCCCACAACCCTTCTGTAAAGGGATGTCCAATTGCTTACAGATTGGCTTTGGTCCCCACTCCACACTCCCCCTCTCATTCATTTTTTGCTCTGGGTCTTTGATGCCTGATACCTGATCCCTTTGACACCTCAGGTTCACACAGGCTGGTGTACTTCTTCCACGTGGCTTTTGTTGCTTCTGAGCTGGATGGTTGCTTGTTTTATCTCCAAGCCTTTAAGACCCTAGGTGCTCTATCTTTTGATAGCCGGGCACCATCAGCTTTCTTCACATTTCCTTATGCACCCACTTTGCCTTCAGCAACATTTGATCTCTTTTGACCCACTTTAGATTTATTCTATTTTTTTGGTAGTTTCTGCTTTACATTTTTTGTTTTTCAGTACATGAAACCCAAGACAGGTGAATCTACAGACAGTAACTGGACTAATGGATTCTTGGGGGTGGTAGGAGAGGTTGGGAGGAATTGAGGAGCTAATAACAATGAATACAGGAAGAAAATGTTCTAAAATTGATTATAGTAGTAATTGCAAATTTTACTATGATTAAACTCTTGAATTTTATGATATGCAAACTATAAGCCAATAAAACTGTTAGACCACACCATGATCTTTTAAGCTAAATTTCATCATTAAGGTCTTCCTTACCGGTTACAAGGAACTATACTATATGTGACCTCCTCCCTGGGGGACGGACAACAGAAAAGTGGGTGAAGGGAGATGTCAGACAGGGCAAGATATGACAAAATAACAATTTATAAACTATCAAGGGCTTATGAGGGAGGGGGGAGCGGAGAGGGAGGGGGAAAATG